TTTCTTTGTGGAAGAAAATATAAGACTCTTTAGATAAGGTATTTACTAATCTGTATGCCAGAATTACTAAGACTTTAAATATGAGGAGCTTGCAAAAGTAGCTTGTCTAAATTTGTCTTAAGCCTAAAAGGCTAAGGGAATGCATATAAAAAGAGGCTTATCAAATTTTAATAAATTAGCCTAATTATGATTAATAAAGTAGGTGAATTGACTATATAGCATTGCATTCAAAGGGTAAAATTGTATAAGAGACCTTTACAAAACTGGCCAAGCCAAGCATGGGCATTATGTTTGATGAATGATAATGGGTCTTCCCAATTTATTTATTATCTTAATATAGCCAGGACATGTGTCACCTTAGCTTCTAAATATTTTATTCTCCTACTCTCATTAATAATGTATATTCCATCTGTGTTTTTGTATCACCAGTAGTGAGACTTTGATTAGCAAAAAGGATGTTTCTGAAAAAAATGTTCCTTAGGTTTTTGGTGTGTACTGGAAAAAATATAAATATATATAACACTTACTATGTTCCAGAACCTGGTCTGTGTTCTAGAAAGACAGTAGGGAACACAAAAGACAAGGCTTGAAATACAGTGGTAAGCAAAAAGAACAAGGCCTATGCCTGCACTCAGAGAATTCGCATTTCTAGTGGGGAAGATTGATAAGCATATAAGTGAGTAAATAAATAAATAAGTAAATAAAGTAGTGATAAAAAAGATTAAGAATTTAGGTGTAGTAAGGTAATAGAGAGTGATCTAGGAGAAAGGTGATGTTTAACAGAATGGGAGAAGATATTTGCAAATGACATATCAGATAAAGGGCTAGTATCCAAGATCTATAAAGAACTTATTAAACTCAACAGCAAAGAAACAAACAATCCAATCATGAAATGGGCAAAAGACATGAAGAGAAATCTTACAGAGGAAGACATAGACATGGCCAACATGCACATGAGAAAATGCTCCGCATCACTTGCCATCAGGGAAATACAAATCAAAACCACAATGAGATACCACCTCACACTAGTGAGAATGGGGAAAATTAACAAGACAGGAAACCACAAATGTTGGAGAGGATGTGGAGAAAGGGGAACCCTCTTGCACTGTTGTTGGGAATGTGAACAGGTGCAGCCCCTCTGGAAAACTGTGTGGAGGTTCCTCAAAGAGTTAAAAATAGACCTGCCCTACTACCCAGCAATTGCACTGTTGGGGATTTACCCCAAAGATACAGATGCAATGAAACGCCGGGACACCTGCACCCCAATGTTTATAGCAGCAATATCAACAATAGCCAAACTGTGGAAGGAGCCTCGGTGTCCATCGAAAGATGAATAAAGAAGATGTGGTCTATGTATACAATGGAACATTATTCAGCTATTAGAAACGACAAATACTCACCGTTTGCTTCAAGGTGGATGGAACTGGAGGGTATTATGCTGAGTGAAGCAAGTCAATCGGAGAAGGACAAACATTATATGGTCTCATTCATTTGGGGAATATCAAAATAGTGAAAGAGAATAAAGGGGAAAAGAGAGAAAATGAGTGGGAAATATCAGAGAGGGTGACCGAACATGAGAGACTCCTAACTCTGGGAAATGAACAAGGGGTGGTGGACAGGGAGGTGGGCAGGGGGTTGGGGTGACTGGGTGATGGGCACTGAGGGTGGGCACTTGACAGGATGAGCACTGGGTGTTATTATATGTTGGCAAATCGAACTCCAATAAAAAAATATACAAAGAGAGAGAGAGAGAGAGAGAGAGAGAGAGAGAGAGAGAGAGAGAAAGGTGATGTGTTTGGAAAAGGTAGTCATGGAAGCCTCTGTGGTGAGTTGGATTTTAAGCAAATACTTGAATGAGGAGAGAAAATAGACCAGGTGAAGATCTTAGAGAAGAGTACTGTAGGCACTATATATAATGAAATATTACCCAGCCATAAAAAGGATAAGCTCTTGCTGTTTGTGGTGACACAGATAGACTTAGAAGGTATTAGGCAGAATGAGAAGAAGACCAGTGATTCTCCAAGGGATAAGAAGAATACTATTAAATTAAAATGATAAGATTAGTTGATGATTGCCATGTTGTTGTCAAATATAAAGGCTATTAAAAATAGACATTTTGGGGGGCACCTGGGTGGCTCAGTCAGTTTAAGCATCTGACATTTGATCTCAACTCAGGTCTTGATTTCAGGGCCATGAGACTGGGCTCCACGCTGGGTGTGAAGGCCACTAAAAAATTTTTTTTTGACATTTTGGCAAATACACATACCACACAGAGATGTACACATTTATCTTGGGAACAGAGTCTGGTAGGAAGCAGTGTTTTGCTTGCTATGGAATATTGTACTTTCTCTTACTATAGTTTTTGAAATGTATGATAGTCCTAAGCATTGAAAATATTAAAGAAGAAGAAGTTTCTCTTTTCAAAAATATAGATATATTACACAGATCTACACATGTGATAAAATTTTATAGAATCACATATGAAGAATGCATCTAAAACAATGGTGAAATACGAATAAGATCTATGGTCTTATTAAGTGTATTGTGCCATTTTCAATTTCCTGGTTTTGATAAATGACTTTAGTTGTGTAAGATGTCATCACTGTGAGAAATTGCATGTGGGTTATACATATGAATTTTCTGCACAATTTTTGAAACTTAGATCAAAGTAAAAAAAAATTTAATATAAATACATGTAATTGAATATCTTACTTTAAATCCTGACCTTGTTTATTAGTCTTATCCAGAGTAAGCTGCCATACTCCCATGAAAATGGGAAGCAGAAGTGGATATCTTTGTAATATGCCAAACTTAATGGGATGTTGATTATATTCTTCATTTATTAATGCTGCACACTTTTAATACTTTGGCAGTTTTATTCATGTTTTAGTACTTAAACTTTTTATATGAACAGAATGTGTGCATATTTAATGTACCCGAAAAGATGAAATGTGTGGTAATTTGTTAAACTAAAAGGCAGTAGTAAGACACTTTGGCAAATACAGCATATTGCAAGCATTTTAGGGAGCCAAACAACCTAAACATGTCAAAATAATAGGTAGTTCTGTGATATTTATTGACAACTTATAATAGCTGAACAGTAGTAAAAAAATGATTGTAACCTTATTTCATTAACTTCTGAAATGTTTGTTATTTTAAAAACATAAATTTTCTTTATCTTTCTTTCCTGAAAATGAAAACTTCCATTTTTTTATACGATTCATCTGTCATTATTTTGTTTGTATTTCTGTATTTGTCTTTCCTAATATCAACAATGATGGAATAGAGATATTAAATCTATGATTACCTATTTTTTGTTTTTGTTTTTAAATATATATATTCAAAGATTTAAAGATCCATCTTGCCACTGGCAATGACATGGATGGACCTAGAGTGTATAATGCTAAGTTAAATAAGTTTGAGAAAGACAAATACCATATGATTTCACTTATATGTGGAATTTAAGAAACAAAACAAATGAACAAAGAAAAAAAAAAGAGACAAACCAAAAAACAGACATTTAACTATAGGGAATAAACCAATGGTTCCCAGAGAGGTTGTGGGTGGAGAGGATGGATGAAGGGGATGGAGAAGTACATTTATCTTGATGAGCCCTGGGTAATGCATAGAATTATACTGTACACTTGAAACTAATATAACTGTAAGTTAACTACACTGGAAGTAAATGAATGAATGAATGAAGAAATGTCAGCACTATATTGTTCCTACTCAATTTTAACAAAATATCATCAGTCTTAAAAATTGTTCTGAACTGGCATCAAAATCCCTAAATAACAGCAAAAAACAACTGAGTAAATGCTTATAAAATCATAGCTTTCTGTGGTGAAATTATAATTTGTTATATTCAAAGAATAACTGTTCTTAAAAAAATGAATGATTTTCTGAAAATAGATTAAGGTTTGGAAATTGCTTCACTAGCTTGATTTTATACCACTTTCATCAAATGGATTTGGCTGATGAAACTGAAATGAAATAGACCGTACTGGGTTTAGAGGAGTCATTTTTCAAATGCTCAGAGGAGGTAGAATGGAAGTGACCACTAGCTGATGCCCCATTCTTTTGTGAAATGCTTATGGAATGTATGTGGTTACTAAACATTGTGTTTATGAATATTAGGGGGAATAAAGTACTGCCCCTTTTCAAAAGATCTTACTGTCAATCAAGGAATGGAACCAAACGGACAGGATACAGTGGGGTGGGTGGGATTGGAGGTATGTTGAGTTTAGACTGAACTCAATTATTTTTAAAAAGCTTTTACAAGATGAAGTCAACATTAGTAGCCCTCCCACATCTGAAAAGAAAAGAGTTGATAAATTATGGGTTGAGGGAGGAGGTAGCAGTCACGGGCATTAAAATCCCTACTGCACTTACAGGACTTTATAGATATATAGCAATGGTTTGCAAGCTGACTTTACTCTTAATTAAAATGATGGAACCAAATAAATTACAATAATGGGATTAAACATGATATTAAACATGAGTTCAATAACTGGAATTTTCAGGCACTTGTAAAGTTTTAATTTAGCTATTTATTCCAGTCCTATTTCCTTCTTTAAAAAATAGAACTGTTTAATTTGTCCTTACACCCCATATTTCTGATGTTCTCTTAAAAATATTTATTAGCAGAGAAGTATTCCAAAAGCTGAAAGAGACAAGCAATGAATCATCAATCCCTGGAAAATTTAAATTGATCAGGCTTCATTCAGGAGGACACGGCAGCAAAATATCTTTTGCCTAAAGCTAGAATTTCTTAGGCAAATTCTAACTGGATTATCTAATTCTTCACTCTCATCATCATACTGATGGTAACATTTACTGAGTGGATACCCAATTCCAGGTACTCCTTTCAGGGGTTAATATGCATTAATCTTTAAAAGTTTATAAAAATATCTGTCAAATGATTCATTTATTTGGCCAATATTCATATTTATTTTTCACTTAGGATATTTATTTTATTTTCATTATTTCTTCTCTTTCAGCTCTTCTTTATGCAACTATTTTTGGAAATGTTACCACAATTTTCCAGCAAATGTATGCCAACACCAACCGATACCATGAGATGCTGAATAATGTGCGGGACTTTCTGAAACTCTATCAGGTCCCCAAAGGCCTTAGTGAACGAGTCATGGATTATATTGTCTCAACATGGTCCATGTCAAAGGGCATTGACACAGAGAAGGTATGGGTTATTATTATTATTGTTGTTATTTATTTTTCACTTCATTAGGATCTTCAGCTGCCTGTAGCTTTCTCACTCATATATTGCTTGTATAATTGCTTCATAAGTGTTCCTCTGTTTTTCATAAGTAACAAATCAATCAATTGTAGTGTCTATTGAGGGCTTAGAAGGTGCAAAGCACTCAACCATGAATCATTAATTTGGAAATTGTGGTTTCTGAAAACAACTAATTACTCCATTTCCCTAAAACACTTGTAACCACAGAGTAATTTGCTGCATTCCTCTAAAACTAAGTGCTGCTATCTCTCCTGGTCAATTTTATTCTTGTTTTCTCCTTTCATTTTTGCCTACTTAAAATTTAGAAAGAAACTTCCTTGCTTATAAACTAAAAAATGTATGTCTTCAATGCTGCCCTCCACTCAAATCTTTCCTGTCTCTCATACATGTTTACAAAACAACTTTTGATTCTTTATTTTCCTCTTTTCCTTACACATATCTATAAAGTGGATACCATCTTCCCATTCATCTGACATCTCTAATTTCTTGCTTGTCTCTTCATGAAACCTCTTCTAATTTTTCCCATCTATCTCATGTTAGGGGTAAAGGAGGACTCAAAGTCCTCCTTAAAATAAACAAAACCAAATTAAAAAAATAAATTCTCACTTCCTACACCCAGCTGATTCATGTCAAATACGTATGGGGGATGATATGTAGGGTTTGTGCACGAGTTTTAGAGAAAACCAGTGTTGAGCTCTTTTTCTTTGTAAGCATCTGTGGATATGATTATTTTTAGGTACTGAATTTTGACATGATAATCAGATAGTACATTACTTTCCTTGCTGTTTCCCACAAATTTGATTTGTTCTTTTAATCATATGATGTTGACTTGGAGTTTTTCTTTAAGGTGTTCATTAAGCACCTTTCAATGTCAAAGGGAAAGAGCAAATGAGCAAAGTACATGTTCAGCTGGAGGAATTTCACTTAGGTAGTTTTAAGCCAGAGCAGCTATTGTTAAGAGAGGATGGTTGAGGGGATATTTAGGGCCTGCATCTGGAAGAGTTGAGGGAAGGAAGCCTTCAAAGGAAGTGCAGGTGAGATCCTTGGGGGTAATTATCCGAGGGATCAAGAAAGAGGGTGAGATTTCTCCCTCTTTCAACATTTTATGAGCTGTGGTATTAATTTTCTAGTTAAATGGCCATTAAAATAGAATGTGTGACCACAGATGGGGGAAGGACAAACTACATTCTGTGGAATTTGATTTATATATGCCTGAGCTAAACAATATATGGTTAGAGGGGAGGGTATACAGAGAAGGAAGAGAAACTTTCACAGGGTACAGTGAGACTCAGTGTTTTAAGCATTAAGATGTTAAATGCATGTTGTCCTTTGAGGTCCACATTCAGTGAAACAGATCAAGAGGCAAAGGTACCTTATCAATCACCATCTCAGTCAGAAGCTTTTCTTTTCAGAAAATGCAGTATGGTCAACCGGTAGCTGGCAGAAAACATCAGCAAGATGATGTAATAAGGGCCTTTTACGTTTGAAGAAACTGACTCATAGCCTATGCCACAGATCTGGTACCTGGCAGGTTTTGAGTCCCTGCTACTTTCTGTATTCCCAGATGCTGGGTTAGTTCAGGAAGGAAGCTGACTAGATTCTCACAAGTTTCCCCTCAAGGACCTGCTCACCTGTCTGCCTCATGATATAGTTAGGGTATGGCACTCTGACATGTGCTGTGTCCGGAAGTGCACATGCCATGCAGCAGGAAACAATTTCTGAGATCCTATTATTTACTTTTTTTTTTTTAAGATTTTGTTTATTTATTCATGAGAAATACAGAGAGGAGAGAGAAAGAGAGGCAGAGGGAGAAGCAGGCTCCACACAGGGAGCCCAATGTGGGACTTGATCCTGGGTCTCTGAGATCACACCCGGGGCTGAAGGCGGCGCTAAACCACCCGGGCTGCTCTTTGTTTTTGTTTTTATGTTTGGTTTGCTTGTTCTTCATTTGTGGTCACAGAAATGTACTTCTGATTAGTAAATATCCACAGAAAGTGGAGTCATAGGAAAAAAACGATTGGGAGGCTAATAGTATAGGTAAAATAAAATGTTAGTTCAAATGAAAAGATTCTTAAAGAAAAAAGGCAAAATATTAAAGTGGATTAGCTTTTGGATAAGAAAAAAATCACAGATGTGCCTCCTAACTGAATGGAGAGTCCAGAAAGAGTAGTGATTTGTTTTGTTTTTTAAAGATTTTATTTATTTATTTGAGATAGAGAGCACGAGAGAGAGATATATAGAAAGAGCACAAGCAGCGGGGAGGGGCAGAAAGAGAGGGAGAAGCAGTCTCTCCATTGAGCAGGGATCCTGATGCTGGCTGGATGCCAGGAACCTGAGATCCTGACCTGAGTCAAAGGCAAAAGTTTAACAGACTGAGCCACCCAGGTGCCCCAAAAGAGTAGTTTTTGGCTAAATGGAGAGGCAGAGTTAAATAACTGTGGCAAATATGAAAGGTTTGTTGTGCACATATAAAACATATCTAAAGTTTAATGTGACAGCAACTGTCCATGCCTGCATTGATTTCTTCCAGCCTATTAAGAAAATCCCACCCAGATGTGTGAGAACTAGCTGTAACAGAACTGTAAATATAGGGTTATACACCAAAGTCTGGGCCTGCAATGGAGTTATGGGAGATTCTTACGAATTGTGTAGTCAAGAGGCTGAATTTAAAAATGCATTCTTAAAGAAATGGACTCTGAACTATAGAGAACAAATTGATGGAACCAGAGGGGAGAGGGTGAGGGTTGGGGGAAATAGGTAATGGAGATTAAGGAGTGCATTAGTGATGAGCACTGGGTACTGTATGGAAGTGTTAAATCACTATATTGTACACCTGAAACTAATATAACACTGTATATTAACTAACTGGAATTTTATTTTTTAAGTTAAAAAAATTTTTAAAGATTTTTAAAAATTTATTTATTCATGAGACACACAGAGAAAGAGGCAGAGACATAGGTAGAGGGAGAAGCAGGCTCTCCGTGGGGAGCCCAATGAGGGACTCCATCCTAGGACCCAGGATCACAACCTGAGCCGAAGGCAGATGCTCAACCACTGAGCCACACAGGCATCCCCTAACTGGAATTTTAAATAAAAAAATTTAAAAATGCATTCCTAGCACACCATATACTCTACTGAACAAAAAGAAAACAAATATTGTCATTCAACTTTCTGGGTGGTAGAGAAATTCCAGCCAGAGCAGAAGAGCCACATGCCTATTAGGCATTCAGTGATTTGACAAAAAAAAAGTGTACATAACATGTAACTTTAAAATACGATAGTAAAGTATCAAAGTGTAGACACAAGAATTAGTAGCCAAAGCAAAGAGTAGGAATAAATATCTCAGAACTAGGTTTTACTATAGATAAGAACTGAATGTAAGTTAAAGGACATATCACAAAGAGGGAATTGATATATTATTTAATATAATTATAAAATGAGCTAAAAAATCTCAGAAAATATTTGAGTTTCTCACATGGCCTAACATAAATATCAGATGGACTGAGTTAAATGTAAAAAATAAGAAACCATAAACTACTAAAAAGAAAATATGTGCCCATTTTAAAATTTATCTTTGGACATATTAAAGCAATGGAATACATAACAAAGTAACTGATAAATAGTTTGGCTAGAAAATATTATTTTTCACACCAAAACCATGAAAATGAAAATGAGAGTATTTGCAACAAATATCACAAGTGAAAGATTAATTACCTTAATATGTAAAGTGATTTTGTAAATGAATAAGAATTAGGATACCCAAGGAAAAAATGAGCTAAGTCCATAGTTGATTTATATAAATATACAAAAATACAAATTAGTAATAAACATTCAAAAATGGCATTTTAACTTGTAATAAAAATTGAAACAGCAAGGGACCATTTTTAATATGTCAAATGGACAAAGATAATGCCCACTCTTAGCAAAGGCTGTAGTGACCGATGCTATCATATAATTCTGGTTTGTACGTAATTTGGTGTGGTATTTCTTGAAAGGTTGAGATAATACTTTAAACTGGGGGAAAAATAATAATTAAAAAAACAAAATAAACTGGTTCTATTCTATTTTTTTAATTTCTTTTTTTAAAAAAGATTATATTTATTTATTCATGAGAGACAAACAGAGAGAGGCAGAGACACAGGCAGCGGGAGAAGCAGGCTCCATGCAGGGAGCCCGATGCGGGACTTGATCCTGGGACTCCCGGATCACGCCCTGGGCCAAAGGCAGGTGCTAAACTGCTGCGCCACCCAGGGATCCCTGGTTCTATTCTAGAGCCCAGTCCTTCTACCTCTTTGCTTCTCTGTCCATATTCTCTCCTTCAGTGATATCATACAATTTTATGACTTTAAAAATGTATGCTAACACTGCCCAGATATACACCTTCATCTTAGACCTGGTCTTGAACTACAGACTCCCCAGTCCAGCTGCCTCCTCACATCCAGTGAAGCTGTCCAGAACTGAACTCTTCATTATCTCCCATAAACCTGCTCCATGGACATTCTTCCCTAATGCAGTTTCCTAATGGAAACTCTACCCCTCAGGTGCTTAGACAAACCTCTTCACATTAAAACCACCAAATCCTGCTGGCTCCACCTCCAGTTTTCACTACTCCATCGCCATTTCCTGGTCCAAGTCACCATTATGTTCTACCTGGGTAGAACCAAATAACTTTTCTGTCCCTTTATAGTATATTCTCAGCACAGCAGCCTTTGAGCTTATATGGCTTTCATAATAAAGCTTTCTATTTTTCATCTATCATCTATCTATCATCTATCACATTTTCATCTGTACTGCAAGCTTTTTTGATAATAATACAATTGACTGAGCTTGTTAAAATACAAAGGTGGAAAAAAGGAAATGAAAGATTGATGATAGTAATCAAATACATTCTATAATTCACAATCTTAGCAATATGAGTGTACTTGAGGATGTAGCTTTAGTAA